TCACAATGTTTTCGTGATGGTAAATTTTGATCTAATATATGAGCCGCGTCACAACAAAACAACATAGTGGGTTTGCGACCAGCATGGATCCAGACCAGTCTGCGCCTCCGCGCAGTCTGATCAGGATCCATGCTGTTCGCTTACAAACCCTATAACAAGTAGAGAAACTGATAGCGAACAGCATGGATCCTGATCAGACTGCGCGGAGGCGCAGGCTGGTCTGGATCCATGCTGGTCGCAAACCCACTATGTTGGTTTTGTCGTGACGCGGCTCATATCTTTAACAGTTCTATATTGAAAGCACATACTTTGAAAACTTGATTGTATCTTCTAATTCCACGACGGTTTTATTTTCTAACTTCTGGACAGGATTTCTTGGTTTGACACAGTGCAGTAGTGAGTTGTACATAAATATCTTCTTGATAACGGATGGTGCTCTCTCTGTATTCGTATTTCCAATTACAATAATGGAGTGGACGAAACGAATAGGTGGCTGTATAAAAAAGACTGATATCCAAGGTTACGGTATAACTTTCGCCGTAATAGTTATCATGAGGCTAGCCGCCGCCGTTATAGGTATTACATTTGAAATTCTTATTAACATAGTTTTATTGTTTTTACTTTGATAGCAAGAACGTCCTCTCCGGAGGAATAGATGTTAATATTGTCGAGAAGATATAAAGTTACTCCGAAAATTAGTTTGAAATTGTTTAATGCATTCGAGTATATTATCATGCCCTCCGAAAAAACATACTGAATGGCCGTCCCTTCGTCCTTCCACTCCCACCACCAACCTTTTACCGATGCATATTTTCCATGATACTTTGCTAAGTTTTCTAATTTTTGAAGGCATTTAGTGTCACTGATGTCAAGGGCAAGGTCACAAGTGCTTAAAATAGATTTTTTCAGAAGAATAGAATGCAGCCTTCATTCATTGACTGACGTCTTTCATATTTGGTATGCACATACCTTTTTGTGGTCCTTTAATTTTGAATGGAGTTAAGAGTCGCTCAGGTCAAAAATCAAGGTTACCGGTGGTGAAATTGAAGTACATTGACAAACGTGCAGGTTCGGTGAGCATCTATCGCCTTTTGCAATGCCTTGTTTGGTTAAATGTTCAGCTGTTTCTCATCATAACTTGATTTAGTTTTTCCCCTACATTGAAAAAGTTTTTAAATTGTGAATACCTTAATTAATGTGATGGCTTAATTTTGATAACTTAATACTTGATTCAAGAACTTCTATGTAACATTAAGCATGTAAATTCATTTTACATTTACAGGAAGTGTCGTCATGGCAATGCGAATCAACGTTTATCCTCAAGATGACCTCATGTGCCTGACCTCATTTGTTCTTCTCGAGGTTGGAGTAGTGTTAGAATGGGCGTTCTTGCTGTTTGTTTTGCTTTTACCTCTGTTGCTATATACAGTTGCATACTGCGTTGCACATATATTATAAAATAGTTCTATGTTTATTATACTCGTATTCCATACTTTGTAATAAAGAATTATATTTTGTTATTGGTGAGTTTTAAGTCATATTATCGAAATCAAATGGCAACTACGCAGTTTTACAAGTGGCGGAAGATCCACATGTGCGAGTCTGTATAATTAATTGTTCAAGCCTACACGGGCACCCTAATAGAACAAAGAAAAGAAGTACGCAGTATCGACTGTTTCTTCGTTTGAAATAGTCTAAAGTGCATCATGGAATTCGAACGAACCAACTCTAGTGAGCGGCAGGGGATTCATTTACAATATGATAGACGACTGAATTTACCACTTCACCACGGAGATCCACTTAAAATGGCCAAGGTAGACATATCTTTAGCTCGACTATTCGGTCAGAAAAAGTACAGCTATCCTAGTCATCCGAGCGTCGGCGTCGGCGTAACCACTTATGTTAGTTTGTGTACCGCCCCAAATATTTTCAACGTCCATCCACATATGGCTTTGAAATTTACACACTTGTTCACTATCATATACCCAACCTGTAAACTGGAGGAAATAACTCTATCAAGCATTTTGACAGAATTATGCCCCCGTTTTTGTGATTAAAATTTATGTTAAAGTTTGCGTACAATCTCAAATATTTTAAGTTCATGCCATCATTGTGACAAAATTATGCCCCAGTTTTTGTGATTAAAATTTATGTTAAAGTTTGCGTACAGTCTCAAATATTTTCAGTTCATGACATCATTGGATACAACAAAATGTACATTAATTTTGACCCGCAGGCAGAATGTGTGATATCTGATTTTGATATTTATTGAAATACATCGCTTTTTTTTTTAAACAACTCGGGGTTTGAGTATCATTTCGTACCAATATACATGTATGCATTTTCTTATGCATGATATATTATAATTATATTTCCCACTTTGCTAAATTCTAATTGAAGACGAAAAGTCAGATATGAATGTCAACACTGATCGATATGGCCTCGGTGTATAAAGTCATATCAAAAAGAACATTTATCTCCGGAAAGGGCAATAACTAGAAAACTTATGAAAAACAAGTCGCAACTTTTTTTCGGCCCTTTCCAAAGGGTGATTAATTCTGAATAACCAGCGAGGTATTCCGAATGTAACTATAAAGTTGTCTCATTTACGATCCGTGTTATCTTATCATCTTATCATCTTATCATTGTGACTATTAGAGCAAAATGTTTTTAAAATCCCTTGATCAATGAAGAAGTTATGGACGGGACACAAAATATACCATATAACAGACTCTCTTAATTTTTTACCTCTAAGTGTGACCTTGACCTAATAATGACCTTGGAGGTTGGTGGTTTTTGCGCATAACACATTGTATCATTATTGTGAATAATTGTGGCAAGTATTTACAAAATCGCTACAAACATAAGAAAGTTATGGACCGGGCACGACATATACCTTCAAAAAGACAATGTTGACCTTGAATGGGTAAGGGTGACATTGACCCTAGAGGTAGGGGTCTGTGGTTTGACAATAATTACAATATCTTCTTAAAATCACTGTGTCATAGAAGTATAGAAAGTTACTGTAGAGAATAACATTGAAAACCCCTTAAATTTTATCATATTGAACCACTGATTTTTGTTTTGGTTTTGCTGAATTTTACATTTATATAAACATGTTTATGTACAACATACACGTAAAAGAACTTAGTTAACAAATAATGTTACTGCTTGTTTCTACACTCTTCTATGCATGTACATGTTTGAACTTTCATAATGTTTTTTTATAGGTTTTGAAATAAGATAAAGATTCATTCAAAACGAATATAAAAAAGTCATAGTAAAGCATCTCTTTTCATTAAAATATTAAATGAAATTGGTGTTAATTTATACATTTTTTTAACTGTATCTTCTATTATTTTTCACTTTATCCTTAAATTTGACACTGCCTTGATTCAGAAAACTAGCAAAATAAGTTTTGAATTATGCAAGCTCCCTTAAAATGATGTAAAGGGCTGATACCATTTGTTAAATTTCAAAATTTACAATAAAAGTATAGCTTAAAGAATATTTCTTGAAATTTTTCCATGATGGCGGCCATCTTGGCGGCCATCTTGGATTTCTTTGATCGCCATCATTTTTGCCAATTTATGCCGGTGGTTTCATATACTACAGACTTTAATGAACATTTTGGTATATAACATTAATTGTTGCAATGAGTGTCCAGGTTCATCATTTTCTAGGTCCTGATTGTCACCCTACCATTATGAACTCTAAATTCGATTTTGAAAAAATGCAAAGGAAATTATAGCTTGTATTATTATTTATAAGTTTAATACTATTATTCAAACAACTTTCTGTCACGTTATCTGCTGGATTTCATTCGGAAATCCTCGCCGATTACCAATTATCACTTGCCATCCGAATTTGACGGGAAGTGCCGAGAAGGATAAAAAAAGGGTAGCTGCTTGATGACATCGTCGACGTTACCCAGTGGGAACCGCCTTTGTCTTCAAGCAGGTACCTTTTCTTGAAAATGAATTACCCCTTCTTGAAAATAAAGACTTGCTGGTTTTCAAAACCGATTGAATTTGATTATTTTGGAACATCTGGAGAAGACGTTTTGAACGGGTTAAAATACATGAGCTGCGTCACGACAAAACCAACGTACATACAAGTACGTAATGCGTTTGCGACCAGCATGGATCCAGACCAGCATGCACATCCGCGCAATCTGATCAGGATCCATGCTGTTCGCTTACAAACCCTATTACAAGTAGAGAAACTGATAGCGAACAGCATATGGATCCTGATCAGACTGCGCGGATGCGCAGGCTGGTCTGGATCCATGCTGTTGGCAAACCCATTATGTTGGTTTTGTCGTGACGAGCTCATATATGAGCTGCAAAATGTACAAATAGCACTACGTAATTCATTGTCCAACTTCCCGAACCATCTTTTTCTTCTGTTGTCTTTTTGTAGTAAAATAAGTACAGTTTTAGTTTGTAAGGAAGTAAAAAAATACTACTTTGTTTATATATTGCTTTCTTTATTATAAGAATTCGTTTAAATTTTAGTACTTTACCAGGTACTGTTCCCTTTCTACAGAAGTAAAAATTGATTTGTTTCTGGGGCGTAATGTAAATGATAAATTTGACATGATCATCAATGGCCATGTATTTTCTCTAGACGTGTGTAATAAGCTGGGACATAAATAAGTATTCTAAGTCCCAGGTGAGGTGTAAGGTAATTTTAATCTACTGTATGAATAAAATACAGGCTATTTCTATTTCGGAGATTTAACGTACGTAGTGCTAAACCTATTTTTGTTCAGTTAAATTATTTCCTTACTCTAGGTCGGCAGTGGAATGTGCTTAAATATATATAGTTAACGAAATTAGGGGAATATCCCAAAGGTGTTGAATTCAATCAGGAATATTGTATGTATACTTTGTACCCCTTGTCTATCCATGTATACCATGCATTGCTTAAATAGGAGTTTATCGTTTTGAATTAACCACTTTCTTTTGGGTTTGTAAAAAGTGAGTGCTGTACATATCATGCAGGTATATATATTATTCAATGTCTGTGTTTCGGATTGCGACAAAATCGCCAAAAATTGAAACAACTAAAGATTTTGGCCTAATTCAATTATGTGACCAGTCCATGTACCTCAATCGTAAATGATATATTTTACGATTCTCTAATCGTCTAATATTTAAGGACTTCCATGTGTTACTTTTTATCAATTTTATGCTTATAAAATTGTTTTGTTCACTCTGTGAAATATATAAAATCTTGTTCTAACAAATTGGGGTCCGAAAGTTAAAGGGAACCTTTAGACAGCTACCAGTCATAGTTTGCATTATTAACCATTCTTATTCCTAAAGGAGAAACTCGTTTCTTTTTTCTTCGTTTTTTTTTTGAAAAAGGGTTATGGTGGGAATTGAGCCCCAATTTAAAGGAAAGGGGGGCAAAAAGAAACATCCCTAAAGTGTCCCCTTTTACTTTACAGCCTTTTTTTTGAAAATGGGGAAAAATTTATGGTGTGAAAGTCTCATCGGCAGAAAAATAATGCAATAAATTGTTTTAGGTGTTTTCTTAGCAAAATGCACCCAAATTGGAAGGGCCCTGGACAATTTTCATTTTTCAGCCCTATATTGGTCATGATGGGGAAGCATTCGGACATGCGGGTCTTCAAGGGGTGGATGAGCTTTCTTTTATGAATGATGATGATATGGATCTCAACTTTTTCCACCGGGTGGACTCGGCACAAGTTGTCTATGAGAGAAGAAAACGTGCAAAACTTGTAGAAAAATATCTGATTGGAGATTTACTCGGAGAGGGTTCATATGGCAAAGTGAAGGAAGTGCTTGACACTGAAACGCTCTGCAGAAGAGCTGTCAAAATTTTAAAAAAGAAACGATTAAGACGAATACCAAACGGGGAAATTAATGTAAAAAGGTGTGAATATATTGAGACAAGCTTTATTAAGATTTCAAGTCAAAAAGTCTGCAGATAAATTCATTTTTGTTTAACATGGTTGGGAAAATTTAAAGTGCCTGCTTAGTAATCTAAAATTATGTTAATAATCACTGAAAGGGAAATTATGTAGTGTCTTATATATGTTAATTTTTATAGCAAAATAGTATGAAAAAGGCAAAGCCTCAAAGCGAGCTCGCTTTCCTTCTACCGTGAAATTAATATGAAAAAGGCAAAGCCTCAAAGCGAGCTCGATGTACTTTTATTGGAAATAGTATGAAATAATCGCTCATTTTTATTTCAAATGCAGTGACGAGTGCGTGTGATGTTACACGTTCTGTGTTAAATATGGCTCCGCCCCTGTCGTTAAATGAATAACGAGTTTTGAAAACGTTGATACAGCGTTAAAGACTGAATAAAAGATATTGGTGTTCAGATTCATTTTCTTAGTTAGACCATTTTCTTTCATTCTAGATAGTTTTCACAACAAAATTCGACAAAAAATTGTTTAAATTTATCAGTTTTTTTAAACAAAAATTTTTCCCCAAATTTTTATTTTAAAATTTTGGCCCGCCTTCAAAGGTTTTCATTTTACATTTCCGTTCGATATTTTATAATGTTTTTACGTTTTTTTAAAAAATTTTTTCTTCCGTTATTTCTGGTTTTCCTGTCCAATTATGGTTCCCTTTCCCAAAAATTTTGGTTATAGATTTCAGGGGTTGCCGTTTAGTTTTCCGGGGTTTCGTCGAACCTGGTTTTTATTTTTTGGTCCCAACCCCCCAAACCTTAAAAAGGGGTATTTAGTTAAAGTTTTTCAAATTTGGGGCGGGGGCCCCCCCCTTGGAAATTTTTTAAAAAATTAAATTTTTTTTTAATTTTTTTAAAAGGAAAAACCATTTTTTTAGCATTTTGGAAAAATGGCTTTTTTCTTTTAAAATGTCTCCCTTTACAAAGTTTTCCCCTTTGCTTTAATAAAATAAAACTTTTCCCAAACTAAACATTTTGGCCAAATGTTCTGGACATTTTTTTTGTTTTTTGGCCCAAAACAAACTGCCCCCGGCTTAAATTTTTGTAAAATGGCAAAAGATGGGGTGACTTTTCTCCCAAGGGCCAAAAAATTATTTTGCCCCTTGATTTTTTCCCATCAAAATTATTTCAAAATTTTTAAAAAAAATCAAGGGGAATTTGGGGATAGATTAAAAAGTTTTTCGGGTTTTGGTTTAAAACGAAATTGGCAACTGGGGTAATTTAAAAACCCCATTTTTTTTCCAAATTTTTTTTTTGGGAAATAAGGGGGTTTCCGCCCCCCTTAAAAACCCCCAAACAAAAGGGCGGCACCAAATTTCCCCTTTGGGGAAACCCCAAAAATGAAATTTTTTTTGGGGTTTTTGGGCCCGGGAAAAGGAGGTCAATTTTTTTAAAAACCTAAAACAAAAACATGTTTTTTTTGGGCTAAATTAAAAAAATTTTTTCAATTTAAAAATTTTGGGAAGCCAAAAAAAGGGAGGGGTTTGGGAAAAAGGCCCAAAAGGGTGTATATAATTAAAAGGATTAACTGAAAATAGGGGAAAAAAACTTTAAATTTTACCCAAACCCCGGGGTTTTTAAATGTTTTAAACCCTTTGGGCCGTCCTTCTTTAAAAAATTTGAAAAAAGGGGGTTTGCTTTGTTAAAAAATTTTTTTATTTTTTTCTTTAAACCCCCAATTTGTTTTTCCATGAAAAAATTTTTTGGGGGAAAAATGGCAGTTTTCTTTGAAAAAGCCTTGGTTTAAAAGGGGGGTTTTCCCCAAATTTGGGGGCCCTTTAAAAAATAAAAAAATTAAAAAATTTTAAATTTCAAACAAAAAATTTTGGACAAATTTTTTTGTTTGGCCATTGTTTGGGCCAACCATTGGCTCAGAAAAATTTTCTTTACCATCACAAAAAGGGGCATTCAAGTTGAAACCATTTTTTTTCGTGATTTTCCAAAAAAAATTGAAAAAAAAATTTTTTTAAATTTATCAAAAATTTTTTTAAAAAAAAGGGGCCCAAATTTTTTTTCACCGTTGGTTTTACACTTTTTACCTTAATTTTTTTCCCCAATCTGGGGGTAAAAAATTTACATTTCCCCAAGCCCAAAAATTTTTACTTTCAAATTAAAAGGGGCTTCCCCCCCTTTCCCCCCAAAAAACGGGGGGAAAACCACCCCCTTTTTGGAAAACCCCCTTATTGAAATTTTTGTTGGGGGCCCGGGCCCCCGGGAAAAAAGGGGTAATTTTTAACAACTTTTCTTTAAAAAAAACAAGTTTTTTTTGGGGCCCAAATTTTTTAAAGGGCATTTTTTCACCCTTTTGAAAACCCCAAAAGGGGGGGGGGTGAAAGAAATTTAAAAAGGTGTTATAAAAATTTTTTTTTTTTTTTGGGTTTTAAATATACTTTCACAAAAAGTCTTGTTATTTTCAGAGAAACATTTGTTGAAAAATTTTGCGTCAAAAAAATATTGTTGATTGATAGAAGTGTTTTATAAAAACAGAGAAAAAAAATTATCCTTTGAAAAAAATTTTTTTTAAATTTTTGAATTTTTTGTATCTGACGTATGGCAGTCCCATTTTTAAAAAAGTTTTTTAATATTTATTATTTCCCTTAACTCAAACCAAAGGGGCGCGGGGTTGGGGGTTAAAAGTGATTGGATAAAACCCATTTGGGCCCCTTTGATGAAAGGTTCAAAACCCAAACCATGGACTTTGGTTTCCCTTTCTTTTAGGAAGTTTTCCGTTATCACAGAATTTTGGGGGTTTATCTGGTGCCCCCTTGTGCCAAAAAAAAATGTTTTAAAGGGGTTTCTGAACTTCCTTTTTAGTTCTTTCCCTCCACCATTAAAGCTAGAAAGGTGCTAAATGAACCTTCTGTTTTGGTTGCAAAGTAAAATATTAACCAACTGAATTTCTGAAATCAAACTTGTCAAGCTTCCTTTATTTTTGAAACTATTCTTTAAACAATTTTGGGGAAATTCAGAATGAAGGGAATTTGATTTTCATGTTGGTCATTGTAACACCCTTGATTCAGATTGCACAGTTGTTTATACGTGGTTTGGCAAAGGCTTATCAGATCTATCATTCCAGCAGTGTGTATTACACAGTACTTTGCAGGGCTAATAAGGGGTTTAAAATTCAACCACATTCCCCTGCTTTTCCCTTCCCCTCTATTTTTAATCCATATTCAATAGTCTGAGTGTGATAGATAGGAGAGAAGGACTTTAGTTTGAAAAAAAATTTTAGTACGTATGTAATTGTATTACAATTAAACATACAATAGACAATTTAATGTGTTTGTAAATGTTTCCTTTCGCAGTGCAATTTTCCCTTGTCCATTTGAAGGATACTATATATGGAAGCTTAATAGATGGATTATGACATTAGTATTAATATTCTTTAACAAGTTTATAGGTACATGATAATGGAATACTGTGCAGATGAGCTACAGAGTATGTTGGAAAGTGCCCCAGAGAAAAAATTCCCTATTTGGCAATCGCATCTGTAAGTTTTACCATATATGTGTTTTTTGCGTTTGCTGTAACTATGGTAACAATAGTAATTTTTCAAGTCTAAGAGCAGTATGCAGGTTGCATTCAATTTTTATGAAAAGTTAGTATTGAAATTGAAGAAATAATGCCGTTCAGAAAAATTAATCCATTTTAAAATATGTATAAATAGTGTAAAATGACATTTACTTTTGTTAAAAACCGGGCCCGGAAAAAAATTTTTAATTAAAAAATCTTATAATTTTTTCTTTCAGTTTCTTTTTTACAGTTAAATAGATGGGTTTAAAAATATTTAACAGGGAAAATCTGTGATCCAAAGATATAAAAAAAAGGGAAACTCCTTGTTACAAACCCGATCAGTTCTCAAGATCACAGATTTTAAAGGGGTTTGCAGAGGTAAAAAAAATTTAAAAATTTTACTTTTTTTGTTATTATTAACCCATTTTTTTGCTGTACAAACCTGTAAAAAATGTTTTTTGGTTTTGGGCCCCCCCCCCTGTCCTAAAAGAGAAAATTTTCAGGATCCTTTTTTAAATTAAAAAAACAAAAAAAAAAAATTGGGGTTTTTCATCTTTTTACATTTCTTTTTTTAAAATTTGCAAAAAATTTAAATTGGCAAATTGGAAAAAATGTTTTCTTGGTCAGGGGTTTAAAGATATACATGTGTTATGCTCATTTATAGCTAAAATACCTTTATTTCAGAAATTAAGGAAATTTTAACTGAATCATGATTTCATGTGAGCAAGCTATCCAGCTAGCTTACGGAGTGTCGGTGGTTCTACTCAGGTGCCCGTTCGTGCCTGAAATAATGCACGGAACTTGAAGGCCCCCTGAGGACTTCCTCCACCAGTAAAGCTGGAACATCGCTATATGACCTATACTGTGTCGATGTGACGTAAAACCCAAAACAAACAAACAAACAAATTGAATCATGAATGTACAATGTATGATTTGAGTAATAGAATGCACAAACTATGGGAGGCTGCATTATTACTGGTCAGGTTCATTTCTACCTTTCTTAAAAGAAACAGGCATATTTTTTTATTGACACTACATGCATGTATTCACTATGTGTTTACATATAGTGTATAGACTTTTAAATGTAATAATTTTCTCTGTGTGTACATTTATTTAACAATTAAAATAAGCCTATATGGCAATTAATATCTGTATTTTCAAATATCAGATTTGAGCATGATATATCTTTTTAAAAAAATGTCATTGGCATGTAATGATTAGCAACAACAAATCAGTGCTCTGTTGGACAAGTTTCTATTTATTGTCATTATGTCTGAAAGTGTTTTTAATTAGTTGCCCAGGAAAGTTTACCTTTAGCGAATTAACAAGCCCTGTCTTTTACCAAAGCAGCTAAGAAATCCCCTTTATATTTGAACTTTCCCATAGCAGGTTTTTTGTACTTTTTTTGTCCTGTTCTAAATGTAATACATGTGTGGGTACATTTTTTTTAGGGTTTAGACACATTTAGTAAAGGAGATTGTGTAACAAAAAGTCAGGGATCCCAGCATTTCAACCCCCTGAGTTTGCCAAATTGGGAAAAGAGAACCCTTTCAAAGGGGTTTTTTAAAATGGACGTCTGGTCCTCAGGGGTTAAAATTGTAAGTACTTGCTTTTTTTTGTATGATTTATATTTAAAAGGAATACCCCATATTAAAAATTTTGCTTAAAATGTTTTTATAAAAAAATATTTTGGGTTTTTTTGTTAAAAACAAAAAAGCATTTTTGTTTGAACTCTTTTTAAAAAAAATGTTGAAACCCATGTCCCTTATTTTTTTCCCTTTATATAAAAACCCTTTTTTATATAATAAAAATTTTTAAAAAATTGGTTTTAGATTTTGGGGGTTTAAAAACAGCTATTTCTTGTTGCCCTAAAATAAAAAGAAGCTGAAACCCCCAAAAATTTTTAGATCTTTTTAAACCCTATTAAACTTTAAAAAATTTTTTCCTTTTTTTTTAAAAAAGATTAGGGGTTTAAAATTATTAGAAAAAAAGAAAAATACTGGCCAATTTTTAAACGGAATTTTTCAAATTTTTTCCGTTTTTTTGGGGGGGACAAAAAATTTTTTTGGAATTTTTTAATTTTGGGGGTTTTCTTGTTTCCGAAAAAAAAATTTTTTTTTGGAAGGTCCATTTAGGGTTTTAAAATCCAAAAAGGGAAAATTTTAAATTTTAAATTTAAACTATTTAAATTTTGGGTTTTAATTGGGAAAAACCTCCGCAAATTAAATTTTTTGGAAATTTAAAAAATTAAAACAAAAAAATTCACAAATTTCTAAATACCTTCTTTTTAAAAGCAGCTCTTTATTAAAATTTCCGTTAAAGGGGGGGACTAAAAAATTAAACCCCAAAAAATTCAAGGGGTTTTGCAAAGTTTTTTTTTTAAACAAAACTGGGAACAAAGGCTAATTTCCCGGGTTTAGTTGAGGTAAAAGGTTTTGGGTTTTTCTAGTTTTGAAACCATTTGGTTTTTTAACCCGTTTGTAAAATTTTTGGACACAATTTTCCCCTTTTTTGGTGGGGGGGCCCGGAAAAGGGTTTTTTTAAAAACCTTTTCAAAAAAAATTTTTTCCTTAAAACATTTTTTTTTTTCAAAAGGGGGGGGGGAAAAATCAAAAAGCTTTTGGGGTTTTTGGAAAAAAAGTTTTATTTTTAAAAAATTTAATTAAATTTAATTTTTTTGGGGCCCAAACTTTTGAAAAAGGTTTCCCTGGGTTGAAAAAAAAAGGGAATTTAAAACTTTAGGGGAAAAAAGGCCCCCGGTTTTTCACGCCTTCCAAGCAAGAATTTCCTTTTTATTAATTTTTAATTCCAAAAGTGTTTTTAAAATATTTTTTTTTATTGGCCAAAGGCAAAATTTCATTAAAAATTTTTACTTTAAAAAGGGAGAGACTTCAGAGATATTTTCTTGTAGAGAAGCTGTACATCTAGCTTCGAGGTCAGTGGTTCTACGGTGGTGCTTGCTCCTGCCTTATGCTCAGGTTCCCAAAATTTGTCTCTGTCATAGAGTCTTCACTCTTACTGTGTATTTCAGAAAGTCTCAACAAATGCTTTTGAAGAAAAGAAAAAAAAGTTGGATATTTTTAAACGTCGAAGTGAATTTAATGTATTTGCCTAATTTCTTCTGTATAGAATGCTTAAATCATTGGATAATAAAGTGAATCAAACTAGCATTGTAAAAGGCTTAGGGTAACGAATCATGGCCACCCAAGGATATATATTACACAGCTTGGCAACTGAGATATGTCACTGTGAGTTAAGCTTGAAAGTTGCCAAGCTGTATGACTTCCTTTATATTTTCAATGTGAGTCAGGCCCAAGGACTGGCAAAATTTGACTGACTGGGACAATTTTAGCAATGTGGACAATTGATTTTGCCTGCCTTTAGTAAATGAACCAAAAATTATGAAATGTCTTGTCATAACATGTACTTTCCTCTGTTTACAGATATAATATGACTACTGGCCTATACCCATATGAAGGGGAAAATATTTACAAATTGTTTGAAAACATTGGTAAGGGAGACTATGTCATTCCGGATTCCCTAGATAAAATGCTGTCATCACTTCTTAAAGGTAAGTGTTATTAATGAATAATAAGGTTTGTCAAGTCATATTCTGTTATGTGTTTCAAATCTGAAAAAAGTTGCCGATAGATGATGGTTTCGTTAATTGGCTTGTTTTGTAAGATTCTGAAAGCTCATTTTAAAACAATATTTTTTCTATAGATTTTGTATTAAAGATGTACATGCATATTTATTAAAAAAAATTGGGTATGTTTTTGATAATTAAGAACATAATTAAAGTGATCATACACAATTTTTTACAGCAAAAGGAATTTAAATGCATAATTGTATTAAAAAAAAGCAATCATTACATGTATAAACAGATCACATTATGTTAGGCATGATAATCAGTAGTATAAATGGTGATAAAATTTATATACTGATTAGATTTAAAATAAATTTGAGCCGCGTCAAGACAAAACCAACATAATGTGTTTGAGACCAGCATGGATCCAGACCAGCCTGGGTAGCTGCGCAGTCTGATCAGGATCCATGCTGTTCGCTTACAAACCCTATAACAAGTAAAGAAACTGATAGCGAACAGCATGGATCCTGATCAGAGTGTGCAGACATGCAGGCTGCTGTCGCAAACCCATTATGTTGGTTTTGTCGTGACGCGGCTCAGTTGGTCTCCTTAAGTGCTCAATTTGTCAAAGCGTGTCTGTAAGTGACATCATTCATTCAATTTGCAGAATAGTTGTTTGTATAGTGATCAAAATGAGTCCAAAGTACATAATTTGATAGAATAATGTTTGAAAATTTCCAATAAAGCAAGGAGTGCTTGATCAAATCTTTTTCAAAAAATCTAGGAAAATATTGCTAGGAAATGTTTTGCTTTGTTAATAATTAGAAAAGTTCCAAGAGTGCAGCACTGCTTAGAAATCTTTGCTTAGGTTCCAATGCCTAAAAGCATAAGATTGGAATTTCAAACATAGATCAACTGGGGCATTTTAAATGATAATAAAGGCAAAAGATAATAAAGAATAGCCTTAGAATGAAATTGATTTATAAGATAAAAGAATTATTACTTCTATGTTTGTGCAATTCTTAACCTGTTTTGATTTAAAACGCTTTCATTTTTAGGCTATTTTTCACATTTGAAATAATTATTCTTAAAAGTTGATCCAGACCTACAAAAATGTTAATTATGTATATCTAAGAAAAAAAACCCAGTTACTACATGTCAAAATATCTTAGTAGAGTCCCTTTAATAACTGACATTAACTGGGAATTCAAAGAGTATATTTTGTTGGTTATACCCTTTAGTCTGTACATTATATTGATTCTTGTATTTAGTTAATGGCAGAAATGCATTTAGTCATTGATTTTTAATGAGTAAAGCTACATGTAGGAAATGCATTACATCTCAACTTTTAATGAGTAAAGCTAGGAAATGTAAGAAATTTTAGATTTTTATGGAGTAAAGCGAGGAAATGTATGAAATCTTAGATTTTTTTATGGAGTAAGGCTCTAAAAGTGAAATGTATTAGATCTTAGATTTTTATGGAGTTAAGCTAGGAAATATATGAAATCTTAGATTTTTATGGAGTTAAGTTAGGAAATGTATGAAATCTTAGATTTTTATTGAGTAAAGCAAGAAAATGTATTAAATTTTGGATTTTTATGGAGTAAAGCTCAGAAATGCATTAAATCTGGTATTATATTAAGTTGCCTAGTTAGCTAGGTAATGCATAAAACTTTGGATTTTCATTGAGTAAAGCTTAAATATGTATTAATTCTCTATATTTTCATGCTATTACAGAAATGTTACAGTATGATGCATCTAATAGAATATCAATAGGAGAAATAAAACAGCATGAGTAAGTATTAAAAGTATATTAAAATAGAGAATCTTATATAAGATTATGAAAATGATAACAAGAACATTTTGATGTAGGATGAACACACAGTTAAAGGTCCTCTCCAAAGTTTACGCTTTGTATATGGAAGTATGCCCACTTAGATTATAAGGTAAAACATTAGATTAGCAATCCAAGGGTTGCTGGTTTGATCCTCGAGTGAGGCATGATTTCCTCGTGACAATTGATCTCTGATATTGAGTCTACTGGTCATTTCACGACTGATTCAGAAATCTAGTAAAGATTAGTAGTTGGTCAGGCGTGGAGAAATTTATAAATACTGGTCAGTTGCCCAGGGAAAATGGTTGACGGATTGACAGTGACTGCCAAGATATAGCCAAAAAAAGGTCTTGAAAATGGCATGAAAATAGAAAAAATAAACTGTGTGATTACTGGCTTAAAGGGTTATAATCAGTTACTTTTAGACCTTTTCTTTAACGACCTGCATAATAAAGATACAAAGCTTTTCAAATGTTAAGCAGATATGAGTCAAAACAGTTTTTTGTTTCAAAAAATGATTTTATCTATAATTATAATGTTTTTCCTTCAAAATAACACAATCTCTTTTAAGATTGATCACATTTGCATGAAGTTTGCTTATATATTTACAAATTGTTTTATTTTCTATAATCAGTTGGTACCGAAAGAAATTTCCTCAGACATCGGAGATTGTGCCGTTCCCTGTTCACCCTGAAGGTTATGATGACTTGCGTAGTATGACTGTGATCCCTTACGTTGAAGACATGCACAGGGGTACTCCTAGTGAGGAGGATGATGAAGAGTTAGAATACGAGGAGGATCATATAGGCCAGACCCCTGTCTCACCCGTAGAGGGAAATGGTAATACCCAAGTTAATTCACATAGTAAGTTGTCTGTTAAAATGCTTACTTTTGAATGATTTTGGTAATATTAATAGGTCTGTGACACAAAGTACAGTGCTTGGCAAGCCACTATGTTCTTGTCATGGCAAATCATGTACATTGAACCAAAATCCTTTTTATCCACCGCCGAAAATTTTCGGCGGAGGATATAGAAATAGTCTCCGTCCGTCCGACCGACCGACCGTCCGTCCGACCGACCGACCGTCCGTCCTTCCGTCCGACATTTTTGTCGGGAGCATATCTCTAAAAGTATTTGAGTTATCAACTTGAAACTTCATAGGTGGATAGACCTCATTGAGGAGTGCAGTGCACAAGAATGATAACTCTACCTTGCATAATTTTTGAGTTATTGCCCTTTGTTATTTTTCAAAATTGATTTTTGTCCAGAGCATAACTCCAAAAGCCTATGAGATATTAACATGAAACTTCATAGGTGCATAGATCTCACTCAGGAGGTGTGCAGTGCACAAGAATGATAACTCTACCTTTCATAATTTTTGAGTTATTGCCCTTTGTTATTTTTCATACCTAATTTTTAACCCGAGTGGAGCATAACTCAAAAAGTGTTTGAGATATCAACATGAAATGTCATAGGTGGATAGATCTTATTGAGGAGGAATGTTGTGCTCAAGAATGATAACTCTTCCCTATACAATTTTTGAGTTATTGCCTTTTGTTTTTTTTCATGCTATTTTGTCCAGAGCTTATCTCAAAAAGTATTTGAGGTATCAACTTGAAACTTCAAAGGTGGATGGATCTCATTGAGGAGGAGTGCAGTGCTTAAGAATGATAACTCTACCCTGCATTATTTTTGAGTTATTGCCCTTTGTTATTTTTCAAAATTAATTTTTGTCCAGAGCAGAACTCAAAAAGCCTTTGAGATATCAAAATGAAACTTCATAGGTGCATAGCTCAGGAGGTGTGCACTGCACAAGAATGATAACTCTACCTTTTATAATTTTTGAGTTATTGCCCTTTGTTCTTTTTCATACTTAATTTTTTAATTCAATTTTTTTCTCAAAAAGTATTTGAGGTATCAACTTGAAACTTCATAGGTGGATAGATTTTACTGAGGAGGGATGCAGCACACAAGAATGATAACCTACCCTGCATTATTTTTCAGTAATTGCCCTTTGTTATTTTCAGCCATCAGTATTCACATAGGTTTCAAATCTGTAATCACTATAGCCATCAGTTTTCATTACCAAAAGACCTCTTAAAATGGAATTATTCCGCTCTACTACATATACATTCTTCCAATGAGCAAACACATTTGGCGGGGGATGGCCATGTTGACATGGCTCTTGTTACAAATTGCCTTAAATTGCAAAATATGATTTGTACTGTAAGCATTTAAGTCTATGTTTATTTTGTCTACAAAAGTACTAGTCTATTTTACTTTAAGTGAATTGGTCTATAGCAGAAGGTTGTAATAAAACAAAACTAAGCATGTGTCTGAGAACTGCAAGAACTAGAATTAAATGCATGACAATATAGGACACAAAATTCACTTGATGAACATTTGTGTTTGTCTTATGTTTCAGGTAAGGTTGAACACGTAGAAGATGCCATTCCAGATTCGAAACACAAGAAACGGAAAAATAAATCCAATGCACGTAGATTTAAATTTTCAGGTTGCTCCCAGTCTTGATGCTTGTTTAGATTTAGTACAGCAACTGTTAACCCCCAATCATGTATTAACCAAATACATGGATGCACATATGTTGAATATATATGTAGATAAATTTGGCTGCCCATGTAATTAATAAAAAATGGCATTTGGACGTATTATTAGAAGCGAAATGTTACCTAGGTATTTAGTCCTGGAGACTTACGACATCCGAGATTTTTGCCAAGACCCGTGCCATTGGAAGCCATATATGTGTATACTAATGGGAAGAACATTATTTAACAAAAATATATATCATCAGATAGTGTGAAAGATTGAGATTAAACAATTGTGTAGTCTTAGCATATTTTATATCCTCCATTTCTGCCAAAGATAAAAAAGCCAACGGTGAGGTGCGAAAGAAAAAGGACCAAAAAGAAACAACAGGATAAAAGAGAACAAAAATGTAAGCAGATATGTTGATGGTGTGTGTCAGATGGACATGTGCCATTTCCAGGATAGCAAGTTTATACATTTTATAGCTTTTGAAACTTTTGTTTTTCATTTCTTGCCTCAGTGACTTAATGTCAATCCAGAATTGATTTATTTCAGTATTGAATGGTACCCTGACTAGATAAACAATTTACAAATGAAAGATTTTCAGTAACCTGAGAAAAATTACATAAGTGACATCATTTTTTTGCCTCTGTAGCTAATTAGAGGTGTGCATTTAAAAAAAAAAGAAAAACGACAAAGAGTATTGCAAATTCGGGATGACAAGATAAAATTAGATAAGGCTGCATGTACCAGTTTGATTAAAGACTTCCATGTGTGCCGAAACCAAAGAATCCTGAAAACAATTTCTTTTTTTCTATATTTTTAAGTGGATTCTTGTTGTCCAATTGGAGGTTTTTTTTTTAGTTAAATGAGAATGGGCTGAAATAATGATTCTTGTCTGAAAAAAAAAAGGCTTCATACATTAATACTTTTCAACTTCACATACCATTGTTTTGTTTGGAATTTTATTATATCTGTACAAGTATGGTCAGTGTATATTGTCGTGAAACTTTCAAAAGCAGTATTGTACTATCTTAAGGACTATTTTGTTGTATTTTAGTTGAGTTATGTTGTTTTATAAGTATTTATTTTGTTTCATTGCTATTCTGTATTAGTTGTTTGTTTATTTGAGTCGCGTCATGACAAAATCAACATAATGGGCTTGCGACCAGCAGGCATCCAGACCAGCCTGCGCATCCGCGCAGTCTGATCAGGATCCATGCTGTTCGCTATCAGTTTCTCTACTTGTAATAGAGTTGGTAAGCGAACAGCATGGATCCTGATCAGATTGCGCGGATGCGCAGGCTGGTCTGGATGCCTGCTGGTCGCAAACCATGTTGGTTTTGTCGTGACGCAGCCCATTTTTGCCCCGCTCTTTGGAAAATCACATTTTCTCTTTGAACGAGATCTTTTGCTGCAAACTTTTTTTTCTTTAATTGACAAACTATTTTTTAAGGATACTTAAGAAGATCTGTGTTTGTTTTTAACCCTTAACCTGCTAAAACTGAAAGTGATTACTTTTTGACACCCATGATGCCATCAACTTTTGTATCCCTAAAACTTGGGCTGTTGGGAAAATACAGTACACAAATTCAGAAGGTTAAGGGTTAGGAGAAAGGGAGATAGCAGTGTCTGAATTGAATGAAAAGTCATAAAAGGGTAACTTTGTAATAAATGTAAAGGGAAGTAATTGTGTTTGAATATGAAAATATAAAGGGAGGTAAATGAGTAAAAAAATGTTAAGTATTAATTAAGGAGATACAAGGGAGATAATAGTATAGTAAAGAGAGTTAAAAAAATAAGTTATTCCAACCTTCTGCCTGCAGCTATGATTGTGTGCAATGACGAAATTACCCGCACAATACATTTAATTGATATACAATGTTTGTGTATAGGTATGATATTATTGGGTGAGTGTTCAACATATTAATTATGTATCTTTTTTTATTAAAAGTAAATATAAGTGCTACTCTTTTAATAATTTCTGGTGCATTCAAGATTTAAAACTAATATATTCTGTCTCATGCTTTGGTAAGTGGATAATCTTTATTATATTAAATATGCTATATGTTGCTGCATACAGGCTCTATTTCGACACCTAGGTGCAACAACTGGCTAACTCATATTAAATTCAGAGGGACTTAGCCCATAATTGCTCTAAGGTGACAATATAGTTAAATTAAGCAAAATATGTAATTTTTTTATTTTAAACTATAAATTTTGAAGCTGAAAAACTTTCATAATCTAAAATAATCTGTGTTTTTTCCACAGTGTTTTTTGTTTTAAAAAATACAGTTTAATATCCACACAAGTTATTCTTATAAAAAAGCTATTAGTTACTGAGTGACCAGTGACCAATATTCCAAATAGATATCTTAAGACTTATTTGTGTTTTTAGTAGTGTGTGTCCGTCCATTGTATGTATAATGTATTGTATAAGTGAACCAAGTACTTTGATGTACATGTGGTGGAGTTTTAGCAGCTGATGAAGCATTTGCATGTTTCAGTACATGACATAATCTTACCATTTGGTATTCATGTAATAGACTAAAAGATAAGAATTACTGACAGTTGTTAAGTAGAAAGGATTATATTAGCTTACACCCTACTGGCGACTACAAAATCTACCCATGTGACCAGTGTAGACCAAAATCAGCTTGCACATCATTGCTGTCTGATCAGGGTCTACACTGTAAGCAAGTGAGTATGGACATTTTTTGAAATTCTCCATCCTAATGATCAATGGTTTTTGGACAAGTCCGTTTAAGATCTTAAGCAGGATGAGTATTAACAGAATTCTGGAAATAAGCAACAAAAAGGAGGGTACGATCATACTTCTCAGTCTGTAGTCAGGCATGGATCTTTACTACTGGCAAAGGTCTGTTAAAATTTAATGTACAAAGATTATTTCACAGCTTTGTGGCATTGAACATTGTATGTATAGCATATCTTGATAAGCTGTTGATATGTATATGATTTCATTTCAATACACATAAACTTTGGGATGTTGTGGATTTAGTTTAAGTACATGTTATGGTTACTTTCTGTTTCATCTTTTATGATGAGTTGTAATTTCATAAGGTGTTTTTTCCTCTTAAATTCTAAAGTTTCATTACTAAAGTTTAGTGAAATATAATTTATTTTTCATTACTTAAGTTTGGTGAAATTTAAGTTATTGCACATTTTATTTTTTGTAAATTTAAAAAAAACATCTTTTTCTACATCAATTATAAGTACTGTTAAAATTATTGACATTTTAAGGTGAATCTTCCATCATGAATTTATATTTTCATCATTATGCTTTACGTTGTCATATTAAGTGTTATTTTCAAATCTGTGGAAAAAAATATTTCAATTTAATTTTATCATATTTTCTGAGAAAATACTAATTCATGGTTAAATCAATTATGGTTTATTATGTTTGTTCTATAAATAGATTTCTTTGTTTAGATTTTTAGCACTATTTGTTTGATCTTTGTAGTACAATGCTGATAATTATTGCAAGTTGGATACTTTAGTTAACTATGTTATGAATCACATTACACTTTTACTCGTAAATGAGTAAATTTTACGCAATACATTTAAGGCATTAGTATACATAATTGTGGTCACATCAGTAAAATGTTTTTTTTGTCAATGTTGTTCTTGAAACAACATGCGATTTTTTTTTAAAGATATTCCTGTACAGATTCTTCTACATACTGTGTTGAACAAAATAGGTGAAAAGAAAAATTTAACTGTGAGAGAGGATGATTATAATGCTAGTGGCGAGCCTGCGATAGTTCTAGTTAAAGCTGTTCAGTACATTTGATTGTTACAGTTGTTGTTTGTGTATATTTTGCATGCTATTTGTCATTGTTTTTGTTGACCTTGAACACTGTGATAGACTGGTATATAGGGTCGAATTGCACAAGTGCTAAAAGCTGAACAATGCTTAACAAGAATAAAATGATTAAATCAGACGCTTACATTTTACTATAGGCAAAAAAAAGAGGATATTTTTCTTTCTATTACGTTTTTAAAGCTTTAGAGTAAAGCATAATACATTTGCATTGTGTGGTGTGTTTATGACGATTTTGTTAACTATTATTGAATGTCTTTTACAAATAAACATGCCATTGATGCATTGGTCATCTTTTTTTAAGGAAATTTTTTTCCTTGTCATTCAAATATCTATGGATATCTGGAAACTTTTTTAAACAACTTTTAATAATTTAAAGATTTCTTTTAAAAAAAAAGCTTTTGTTTTTTTAAGGGTTTTATTAAAATTGGGGGAATTTTTTTACAAAAAAACAGATTTAAAACTTAAAAAAAAAAAAAACATATTAAAAATTCAACTTGGATTTTGGGTTAAGCCAAAACATTTTTAAGGTTGCTTAGATTTAAAAAAAGACAAAAGGCAAGTTTTGTTGTGGTTCAGTTAAGATGGTCAAGTAAAAGAATTTTTTGGGTATTTTTTAAATTTGCTCTGTTTTTGAATGTAGAAAAAAAAATTTTTATCCCCTTAATTATGATAAAGTTTAAAAAAAAATTTTTTTTTTTCCCCCTTTTTTTTTTTAAAAAAAAAAATTTTTAAAAAAAATTTTTTAAAAAATTTTTTTGGGTTTTTGGAAAAAAAAATTTTTCCAAAAAAAGGGGAAAAATTTTTTAAATTTTTAAAAATTTTTTGGGGGGTTTTTTTTTTTTTTTTTTTGGAAAAATTTCCTTTTTTAAATTTTAAAAAATAAAATTTTTTTAAAAACCCCCCAAATTTTTTTTTTTTGGGGGGAAATTTTTTTCCAAAAAAAATTTTTTTTTATTTCCCCCCCCCCCTTCCCCCCCCTTTTTTTTTTTTTTTTTTTTTAAAACCCCAAAAAAAATTTAAAAAAAAAAATTTTTTTTTGGGGCCAAAAAAACCCAAAAAAATTTAAAAATTTTTTTTTCCCAAAAAAAATTTTTTTTCCAAAAAAAAAAAAATAAAACTGGAAAAAAAAAAATTTTTAAAAAAGGGGGGTTTTTTTTTAAAATTTGGGGGTTTTTCCCCGGGGGGGGGAAAAATTTTTTAAAAAAATTTTTTTAAAAAAAAAAATTTTCCCCAAAAAAAAAAATTTTTTAAAATTTTTAAAAAAAATTTTTTAAATTTTTAAAAAAAAAAAAAGGGGGAAAAAAACCCCCCAAAAACCCCCCCGGGGGGTTTTTTTTTTAAAAAATTTTAAATTAAAAAAAAAAAACCTTTTTTTTTTTTTTTTAAAAAAAATTTTAAAAATTTTTCCCCTTTTTTTAAAAAAATTTTTTTAAAAAGGGGGGGTTTTTTTTTTCCCCGGAAATTTTAAAAATTTAAAAAACTTTTTTAAAAAAAAAAATTTTTTTTAAAAAAAAATTTTGGGGAAAGGGCCCAAATTTTTTTTTAAAAAAGGTTTTTCCCCCCCGGGGGTTTTTTTTTTAAAAAAAGGGTTTTTTTAAAAAATTTTTAAAGGGACTCCACTGAGGTTTTTTGACAAGGCAGGAGCGGGAATAATTTTTTTTCAACATAAATTTATCCATTTGATGTAGATCTATGCCAATAACTCATGTGGAAAATTTCAGGGCATTCTCTCACTCTGTTTTTCCAGAATGTTTATTCTTATTGTGAAAATGATCCAAAATTGAAAAGAGTTTCAACGCTTTTCACTCAAATCTGGCGAAGAATAACACAAAAATATGATTTTCAATCTATTTTTCTATACTGTTGGCTAACTTTTTAAGTTTTCATCTTGTTATCCAAAAATTGAAAAAATGTACAAAAATGCAAGCTCGGCAAAATCATTAAATTTCCAAGTACTTCAGAAGGTTTTGGGTTAAGTCTCACATGGTATAGTATGTTTATCAGCGAGTGATCTTAGACATTTGTATGCATTGAATGTAAGGTTGAAGTAAAATATATACCCCAAAACTGGAGATGGGATATTTTATATATTGTTATGCAAATGTTAGAAAACTTGCAAATCCTTCTATAATACAACAAAGTATTGATCATGTGACCATAATGACATCATAACATATTCACTGTATTATAGAGACATTTATACATTATTTTATACATGTACCCTAAAAATTCTAGTGACGGACTTGGCCTGTTTTGATTTTTTTGTGACTGTTCCATATTGATTTAAGGGGTATTCATTTAACCAGTCAACAATATAGAGTTTGGTCAGAATGCACAGAGCTTATGAATGGCTCGGCTTTATATTGATGGCAAAGGTTAAGTTTTAAGCTTAAATAAGACTTATGTAGTTTGTAATAGAACATTATATGTATTAAGGGAAGATAGAGGTGTAATATAACGGTCAAAGTCATGAATTTCACATTTCTAGAGCTAGAAATTTAATTTGCCACAACATCTCTTTTGTAAATTCATAGCTGAACTAGTCAAGAGGTTTGTTATAAACTTGTTTACCATGGAGCATGTGCTATCCACTTCCTTTACTTACAGAAACTTTGAAATAAATCATAAGACATGTGAATACATGTATAACACTGGTGTTAAGAAGCTAAAATTAATTACAGCATAACAAATCGGAACAGGTCTTAATTTTTCCCCAACTGAGTACTGAATGAAGAAAAACTCAAATCCATCCATTTTATGATGAAGTTATAATATATCCAGTTAATAATTTTCTTTAGTATCATTAAAACTGACTTACAGTGACATTATGCTCATCTGTTAGGAAACATTAACTCTTTAAGTAAAATTAACCATAAGAATAATAAAGAATTTTATTTTGTCATATTTGTTTGCAATTTTATAATAACTGAATAATCAATTCCAGATGTGACCTAGATGAATACCTATTAATATCCTTATACTTATTGGTAACTTTCAATTTATAAAAAGAGGCAGTCATTATATTTTGGGCAGGATTAATATTTTATCCTATATGTCAGTGAGTCATCAATTACAGTTTGTACTGGTCAATACCATTTAAGTAGTCAATATTTTGAAATAATTAATTTAGCTCAACTAATAGGCATATTATCACTTTTAAGTACTACATAATGATGTGATGAAAGCAAGTTTCTTTTTTTTTTAACGAATTTAGATCACAAGTAGTGTTACAACTTTGTTGTAGTTACATGATTGATGTAAGTCAGCGGCAAATAAAGCACTAGCGTTAAATACGCAGGTTTTTATTACAACTCTGAATTGTTTAAAGTAATTTTAGTTATTGTATATATTGTATAATTATAGTATATTGCCAAATGTTCATTTCATCTTTCTCTCTCTCTATATATATAATAAGTTCAGCATACAAATTAATTATTATTCCATTAATTATGTTCTTGTTAATGTGCACATTATGTATTGTTATTATTGAAAAAAAAATATACTAAAGTCATGAAATTTTTTATTCTTCTTGTTATATCTTTTAGTATTGTATTGTAGAAGACTTTTAAAAAAAGGCAGAGTGGTGAAATCCATGGTTGAGTGGTAGAGTCCATGGTTGAGTGGTAAAGGTCATGGTTATGTGGTAAATGTCCATGGTTGAGTGATGAAGTTCATGGTTATTTGGTAAATGTCCATGGTTGAGTGGTAAATTCAATGGTTGAGTGGTAAAGTTTGTGTTTATGTGGAAATAACCATGGTTAATGGTGGAATCCTTGACTGATTGATGTAGTCCATGACTGAAAGGTGAAGACTGGCAAAATGGTAAAAGTCATAGGCCAATCAGTAAATTCCATGGCCAAGTCGAAAAAGGGGCATTAATATGCAAAAAAGGAATCAGAGTATGGAACTTGTGCCAATCATGTTAGATAATCACAGAGAACAAGAATGAAGTGTCAATCCATTCCTTTCAGTAGTTATGGAGATACTTAACCACAGGGACACCAACGCTGACAAATGGGTGACTGCATTTGCTCGATTATTCTGCGAATAGTCGAGCTAAAAATGAAAATATAAACTTTTTCTCTTCAACAATAGCTCTATTAAATACTAAACAGTATACATTAAAAACACTTTCCCCAAGACTGAAAAGTGGATGTGCCGACACATTGGACAGTATTGACCTTACTTAAGATACATCTATGAGCTATTTTCTCTAAAACGTGTATTTCAATAACACATAGGAAGTCACCAAAGAAAGAATCATTTGTGAAAATGAACTTAATTTCTGTGATTAAAACTTTATATTCAATCTGATCACATTTAAGAAATTTATAACTGAAAGGTGGTACTGTATTTAACATGTTATATTCCTTTATTAAAATTTGTATATCACTGCTACAAATCCTCTGTTTTATTTTGATTATGAGATACATTAGTCAGTCTTGAACATATATCAGTAGCCTTCTCTTTGTTGTTTTCTAACTTTGCTATCCGAGATCCAAACTGTATAGCTCTCTTGGCTAGGGTAGCAGTTTGATGGAGTCCTAACTCCGTAGCACTTAATCTGAGTAGCAGCTTTTCGCCAAGTCCACGAGGTAGGTCGAGATTAGCCTGAAATGTTATAAGTTTTTACATGATATTAGCCTACTTTCAGCAGCTGAAAATACATGTACCTGTGCAACCAGCGCAGACAAAGATCTTCCCATTCTTTTGTGCCATCTGATCATGGTCTGCACTGTTTGCTTGGTACATATTTTGAAATTTTTCTCTAAAAACGATTTTAAGTTTTGTCCGGATTGAAAACTGGACAAGTCCATTTAAAATGCAACCTCCAATATTCTGTTAAATATAGTGCAGTTATCTTTTATAAATGTCAAGTTAAAGAATAGTTGATTTAAACATTGTATGGCTTGAATGGGTACATGGTACTCATTCTGAAGAAAATAAAGCTAACATAGTCCGAAGTTGGTATGACAAGTACAATATTATCTCCCTTTGACCTGTATAATATTTCAAATTCTACTAGTTTATAAACAAAATCCTAAACTTAAAGAGATCTTAACAAACAGTAAGACAGTCAAAAATAATAGTAATTCTAAGACTGAAGAAACTCAGACGTTTTTGGCAATATTTGGTTAATTGCTTTTATCTGTGATTTGCGAAACTAGTATTTTCAAACGGTCAACATTTATCAATGATTCACCTTTTCATGAACTGGCAAGGAGCTCAAAAATTGTACAACTCTTTCATCCAGGAAAGGAAATCTGGATTCTTTACCATGATCAGTAATTATCCTGAAAAAGCAGTAAATGTCATGTGATTCTGTAACAAAATAATAGAAGTTCTGGTAGTGAGGTATTCCAAGTGATTAACTATTAAATATTAATAATCATTACCAGTTTAGAAAAAGTAAGAAATATTCTAAGAACTTTATGTTTATATCAACAGAAAACAAAGTTATGTTTTAAACTCTTTCCCTGCCTACAAGACCTACACATTCCACTTACAGTGCTTACAAGTCTGGTATTACCTCCATTGGGATATGATATTTGAATAACTGTTTAAGGATGTTTTTGGGAGATTTCATATAGACTTATAGGCAAAATTTAAACTGATCATATAATTTCTTAAAACTTGGCATGTTGTTAGAATATGATAACAGAAACATTTTAAGTGGAAATTAATTTTGGGTCACCATTCTCTTTTTCGAGTTATCTGCCCTTGAATGGGACTTTTTTGCTAAATTCAGGGGCAGATAATTTACAATAAAGAGAAACAATACATTATTTTTTTCTTATTTTCATGATGCTCACCTTTGTTTTAGTCAATATGCAAAATTTCAAGAACGAAGTAGGAGTAAATAGTTTTTTCTCACTTTCTCTTAACATCTGCATTTTTTGTTAAAAAATGGCCTATTATCTAAGAATTTAAGTACCGTTAATTTCATTAAAAAACAAAAAACAGAAATATTATAAGGAATTGCCATTCCTTATGTATTGTGCTTAACAATAAAAAGAAAAACATAATCAAGAAGTAAAAAAGAATTCATCAAGAAGTAAAAAAAGAATTCTTTCAGGCATATGTAACTTATTTTCCCTTGAAATTACCTCAAAATTAGTAGAAAATTCTGATTCAGGGGCAGATAACTCAAAAACGAGGATGGTGACCCCAGTTTCTTTTTCTCTTAAAATGTTTCTATTATCATATTCTAACAACATGCCAAGTTTTAAGAAATTCTATTGTACAGTTTTAATTTTGCCTATATGTCTATATGAAAACTCTCGAAAACCTCCTTAAAGATCTTATGTCTGCATTCTGCAATAATGATGTATTTAGAGGAATGTGCTGTCTTCCTGCTTCAATAAAGTTATGATTTTCGGTTGTCTCATGTCTGTCATAATGATGTATCTTTTATTAAAAACTGACTAGTTGTGTCATATGATTAAAAACCGAACCACAAAAACTGCTTACAGAATTTAAGTTAATCATATGATTTACCTGTCATCTCTACCAAGATTTCTAGATGAGATCCTTGTTACCTCCAGCTCTATCTCATTGATCAATCCTTTCCAACCTTCCTCCCTTTAAATAAAAAAATGTGTTTATAGTCTGTAAACAGTTTATATAACTATTATATTATCATATACATTCAAATACATTCCTAAAAGTACATCAAATATATAAATCAGTGGTGGCATGACCAAGTGGTTAAGTAATCTAAGGATTGCTTTCTGTGTGGGTTCAAACCCTGTCAGGGGCAAGCCGTTGTTTCCTTAAGCAAGAAACTTTACACTCATTTCTTCCATATGGACTTGAAATACTGGTAAAAATTCAACATTTAAAATTCTTCCCTAAGCACTTCACATACATTTTATATACTGGTAAAAATTCAATATTCAAAATTCTCCTCTAAGCACTTAAAATAATGGTTAATATTCAACATTAAAAATTCTTCTGTATGCACTTAAAATACTCATAAAAATTAAAAATTCTTCCATAAGCATTTAAAATACTGGTAAAAATTAAATATTAAAAATTGTTCCCTAGGCACTTTAAATACTGGTAAGAATTCATCATTCAATAATAAAGGAATAGAAATAGGACTATCATATTTGGCAGTAGCCAGAACGTGCTACTTCACTAAGATCCATATTTACATGTATATGTGTTGACATTTTTGTATCAAGTACATGTATTTTGTATCTCTGGAAAGGGGTCATTAAAAAAGACAATTTGACAATATTCATACATATTTATTTGCAAAATGTATTGACCTTGGTGGTACATGTATATGGTAAGTATTTTTACAAAATGTCACGCTAACATTGTAAGATAAAGTAGAAAAATATAGAAAAAGCTAACTTGTATCTGACTCTGTGTCTGGAATATCCTACAAGCTGTTCATCTGCCCCCATACCACAAAGAATCACCTGAAAATATATCACACTACATTATGTACTTTATTAAGTAAAAATTTGGTCCTATACAGAATAACATTAATTTGAATACTGATGTTTTGTTAATTTAAAGTCACAAAAATAAATGCTTATAGTATTTGCCATTCATCATGTCAGACATAAGTATTTTTTCCATATACTGATTTAAGTTATTTTCTTTTCAACATTGAAATCTTTGCAAAAATTATAAAACTGGAAATGTGTCCATGGAATACCAATGCCCTTACATTCCACTGTTTTGGTCAATCAATCTATGAACAGACAGCATGACTTTTTTTTTGGTTGAGTTTTAAGTTGCATCAATGCAGTAAAGGTAATTGGCTACTTTCCAGATTTACTGGTTGAGGAAAAACCATCCGGTTCCCCACCTTGTATCATTTCAGGCACAGCTGGATGGATGGATGACAAATATCAATTTATATGCATCACAACCAGTCCTTAGTGGCTAGGTCATAAAAACCATTTAAAAAAACAACATTTTTTTGCAAACACTATAAAATAAGTTAATGAACTGTATACTCTAGCCTTGCTGCATATATTTGTTCCTCTATATTGTCCATTTCCTAGAACACCAATACCTCTAGAGGCAAACCATACAGCACAGCCTATACTATCATCTAACACTGTCTGTAGAGGGTACACCAAATCTTGTATATGTTCACTCCTACAGGAAATAAATTGACAAATATACATGTATCAGGATCCAATTTTACAAACAAAAACTTGTATGATAATTCACTTTCCAAAGACATAAATGATATAACATGTATAATCTCATTGTTATAGTGCATATTAGCAACCCGAGAACTGAAATAACACCAGAGGTGAGGCTAATTTGCACAACTACCCTCTGAGACATGTGTTGTATTTTTTATTATACCAAACCAACATTTTAATGTATTTTTTCACCGCTATGCATTATTACTCCGAGAGCCATTCATCAATTGTGGCCAGGGGATAGAACTAGAACATTATGGTTTTTTAAGTCCACATACATTACACGCCTCTGGGGAATATTGTAAAACAATTATTGACAAGGTGATATTCAATTCCAGGATGATAGATCGAAATAACACCATGTGATGTCACATAAGGCTTTATAGTAAAAAGTTTACGTGAAGTATAATCTCTAGTTTTATCACAAGCATTTAAGTGGATAGTGAAATTATACTTTGATAATTTCAAAGCCATATTATCATAATGTGATGTCAGTGTAGCTGAACTATATTTGGTTTAAACGTATTTATTCCCGAAAGTATATATAATGTACATACAAATAAATAACAAACAAAATATTTTTACACAATGGAAAAGGATGAGAAAGAAAGACAAGTCTTACAGAATTCTTTTCTTTTATATAGCTATATTTGAGAAAGTTTGAAAGAAATAGATAAAAAAAGAATGGAAATTTGGTCTGAAATACACGCCCCTGTAAGTAAATTTACATGATTACAAGATGCCAAATCAGCAACATGTTCCATCTGGGACATAATATGATAGACCAAGCAACTGCAGATAAGTGCCGCATTATCTTTTTGTCCTCTGTTTTGTCTTTTGATTGATGATAAATTGTATACTTTTCGTCCCCAGTAAACATAGCATAAGATGTTAACTGTACTTTAATGTATAAATGGGTTTTACATGGTTCTATGAAATTTTTTATAAACAGTGCACTTATCTATTGACTGTCAATTGATCCCAACATTAGACTGCTTAATCAATAGAGAGATGCTTGGCCTGTTTCATTATGTGCCAGCTTCCATGTTAAAGCTTTAGAGAGCATAACAATCAAAGTTACTAGACAAATTTTCACAAGAAAAGGCTTTTGTATGATAATGTTTCATTTTTTTGTGTAACTGATTAAGAAGGTAAACCATTATATAGTAAAATGCTAAGACTGTTTTTATATTCTAATTAATAAATTGAAAAATGTTTGTCATTTTGTATCAACAGCAACATACAGTATTCTCATAGGTTTATTCATTTCAGTGCTACAAGCAAGAATGATCTTCCTACATCATAACTATACTGTTTACAGCATGGTTGAACTAAATTCTACACTGTCCAACCAGAAACAATATTGCCGACTGATCAATTTTTGTATTTGAATATTAAAAACAAGACCCTTCCTTATTCAGAGTAGGCCAAGCCAATTATTAAGAAATTCAGCAAAAGAGGGGCACTGCACAGTTACCTTCTCAATCAAAATATATTGAAGAAATATAATGAAAACAGTCGGAATATCATTATTTATACTCAGTTACTATGATATTGACCCAATCATCAATCTGAAACCCCATAAAAAGGCAATGGTCCAAAGAGGGCACCAACATACCAAATATCTAATATCAGAGGTTTATGGAGTGGTAAGTGTGATGAAAAGATAGGCAAACTAGAAGCTATATAATGTACATGTACTCAAATGAAAAATGTTCAGGCAGCATTATGAAGTTTTTTACCTTGTTTTTTGTAATTCTTCGGCTGTTACATTGACCTCTATGAAGTTCCATTGTCTATCTGGATTTAACTCTGCCAGAGCTGTATAACCTGTCAGTCTGTCTGGGACGTCCCATCTTTTCACTGGGTCTGATTTTCCAGGTCTAAGAATTCAACAAAACAGATTTGAGTCATGCATAATTCACAACAAATGTTGAATATTTAAGTAATGACATTTTATGCATAATAGTCGGATTAAAGATGTTCACAATTTTACTTAATCGGATAATGCTCAATTTTTGTACATGTAATTTCAAAAAGGGTCATAATTCTGTCAAAATCCATGTTCAAGCCATGGGCCTTGGACAGTGACCTCCTATTACACTCTCAAAGAGGTGTGTGAAGTTTCAAACCATTCCCTAGTAGTACTAAAGATACCAACTTGCATGCAAAGACTTGGACTGTCTGATCATAGTCTGCAATTGTCATTATTCAGTCGGTAAATATTTTAAAAATTTTCCCTAAAATTATAAGCAGTTATGTCCAAATTAAATGCTGGACAATTAAGTGTGTTAAGGAGTAGACATCTTACTTTTCCTTCCTCCCAGACGGTTTTGGTTTCAACTCAAAAGCAACATTTAGCAAATCTATTGGTTCATCTATTGGTAAACATCTGCAGAGGAATACATATTTGTTAGTCTGTATGGTGATAATTGTCTTAAAATCATTTTAAATTTCGAAGTATACAGAACAAAATTTTTAACTTTTCTAAACATTCAGACAGTTAAACAAGAGGACAAGCATTATAACAAGAGCATTACTGGAACCTAATATCCATTTATCACTACTCTTACTAAAGACTGGTGGGCTCTTTGGCATTTAACACACCCCTAACTAAAAGTTTGGGGACCTCTTTGGACGAGTGTTCATGACAGCTGACTTCAAATCACATGCCCCTCACTGCTGTGGGCTTGAATCCCCTTTCCAGACTTCAGATTCTTCATCATGAGGAAACTACTTAGCTAGCATATGGAAGGTCAATACCTAGGTACAAGCTTAAAATTATGAATGAAATGGCACTAGATGTCTTCCTCCACCTGTAAAGCTAGGAAGCTGCCTTCTGACCTATACAGTGTTGGTGTGACTTACTGCCAATCACATACAAATAAATATACATCAAGACCCAGCCTATACACTATCATGGTCCCTGGTAATAAAATCTTCTAAATTGAAATAAAACTGTATACACACATGCTTACAGAAATTTTTACGATAAAATGTTACTAAATAATCAAAGTGACATTATGCTCATATTTTGCAATCAGGTTGACTTGAATTATAGCAAAATATTTTAAAAGATTGGCTATTATTATGCTGATCAACCAATAATTGATAATGAAGAATGTTTATGGTTCAATATAAAACACAACCTAAGTTATAAATAGACTGCACCATTCTTTTTAAGAATACTTTATGAACAATATTTATAGAAGATTTTGTTGGTCATGTGAATTATTGACTATATTTTTCACAGTTAAATATAAGACTGAAAACAATTACGACAAAATGTCAAGTTATTTTTATTTTTATACCCTTTCATTGACCATTTACACTTGGATGGGCATAATGTCACTTTAAAAAACTTGTAATGGATGATAAATACACTTACTTATCGGCAAGGGCAGCGATCATTGTGGAATCTATCCCACCAGAAAACAAGATGGCTACTCTGGATGAGGTGGTCATGTGACTGTCACATGGTATGCCATTTTCTGCAACATCATTTGCTGCCCCATCCATGCAGGCTTCCACATTCATACCATCAGATTTTTTGGCATGGCAAATTGTAGAGTTATCATCTAAAATGATAACAATTATTATGTATTTGCTAACAACATACTGTATGTAACTGATTGAATATATATTGTATAACTAAAGAAATTAGTAAACATTTATTTGTTGTTGTTGTTTTTTTTTTTTGTTGTTAATTGTATATTTAAATGCAGTTCAATAGGATAAAAAAGATCAAAAACCAACTCAAAATATCAAACATGTTTCACCTGAACACGGCTCTATCACATGTTGATTAAACACTCGTGTCCGTACAGCTTCCAGTAAAACACCCGTTAATTGTCTACTTAGTGTTCTCAGGTAACTGTTTGTATCTAAAAGATTCTAAAATAGAACATACAAAGATATGTACATTTAAAATAGTAAAATCAAACACAGCATCAGTAAAACTTAGCTTAATAAGATCTATCAAGGTATGACGTTGTGATCCTAGAAAAATTAAATGTTTTCCAAATTTCTATTAAGTCTTAAGACTTAAATGACCTGCCTATCTCATCACAATAATCAGATTAGCTGATATTACTGTGCAGCTGGATGACCATACAATAATCTCTCACCTGATATTTCAACCATTTTCAGTTTTCCACATAAAAATCCCTTCAAATCCATAATTGTATGTTACAAATTTCAAATCTCGTCAGGTCAGTTACATAAAGTTAGGAGGTTTGTTTGACTGGGTTTTACATCACAACAACACTGTTAAGGTCATATGGAGACGTTCCAGTTTTCCAGCTTTACAGGTGGAGGAAGACCTCAGGTGCCCTTCTTTGCATTATTTCAGGCACAAACAGGCACCTAAGTAGAACCTGTGACCAATATTCCATAAGCTAGCTGGATAACGTCCTCACATGAAAGAATTCAAAGTCCCTATCAGGGTTTGAGTCTACAGCTATGATGTGATGGGCAATTAGTTTGAAGTTAGAAGGTAATAGAGCCACCAGGTTACCTGTAAATAATCAAGGTAAGCTTGGTCTGGTGTAAGCTCCGGTAAAGTATAATCTGCAGATGGTAGACTCTTGTTTAAGATAGGTAGTTGAGATGATACTGCTAAATCGTCACTTATCTTAAACTCTACAATATCTGATGGTTTCTCACCTGGAAAATAATAAAAATAACATTTCAGTAAAAAAAACTTGAATGAAATCAGCATATTATGTAAAGGATAAAAAGTAGAAATACTTTTTTTTATTTTCACTATTTTTACACTGTAAGCCTCTTCCATCATCAGAAACTAGCTGGTTTGGTTTAAACATATTTTAGCTCAGTTGCGAAACTTACATTAATCAGTTTTAAGTCTGCTTCCTAGAAATCAACCAGTGCTGGTGTCATATGAAGAAACATGGTCGTGACCAGATTAGGACTCGAACCCATGATCCCTGGGTTGGGAGGCAGACACCTTAATAAGTAGGTCATGGTTCCCCTTGCACTATCATAAAGCCCTGATTTATCTGGAATCATACCATACCAATGTCAATACAACAAAGGTCCATGCTTCAATTTTATTTCTCAAAAGCTTTTTAAATGCTTTTATTTTTATTTCTCAAAAGCTTTTAATTTTGGTGTCCATATATATTTCCAAAATGTTACTCATTGGTCATTTACCTGAACCATCATTTGCTTTTCTTGCTTTTGGGACATAGTACAGTTATAGTGATTAAGTGTTTTGTATGTAAGTCAAAATACTACTTTGTTTACATTTTGCAAACTTTAAGAAAAATAATTTCACATTCAATGTTACATTTGTTTGCTAATATGCTCTTAAACTATTATTTCAATGTTATAATACTCATGTTTGCCATTTCTAATGAAGGAAAACATTTATTCATTTCTGAGGCATAACGTTCCTTAAATAATTAGTATTACACAACTTACAAGAGTATATCTTTGTAGCAAAGTCTGGATCAGTCTGGACAATATCTAATGTACCAGGCCACACTGCACATTTCCATGGAAACAGAGTGATTGTATTGAGAGCTTGAGATTCAGTCTGGCTACATGTCATCTTATATATACCAACAGCTGGTACCTCCTTAAATCTCTGTAAAACCATATAATACAGGGCTGTAAATCTATATAATACTTATCTATAAATCTGTATAATACAAGTCTGTAAAACCATATAATACTTCTCTGTAAAACAATAAAACTCTTGTCTATAAAACCATATAATACAGGTCTGTAAAACTATATAATACTTATCTATAAATCTGTATAATACAAGTCTGTAAAACCATATAATACTTCTCTGTAAAACAATAAAACTCTTGTCTATAAAACCATATAATACAGGTCTGTAAAACTATATAATACTTATCTATAAATCCATATAATACAAGTCTGTAAAACCATAAAATACATCTCTGTAAAACCATAAAACTCTTGTCTATAAAACCATAAATACTTGTTTGTAAAACCGTAAATCAGTCTCTTAAACCATATAATACAACTCTGTAAAACTGTATAATACTTGTATATAAATCCATATAATACAAGCCTGTAAAAACATATAACACCAGTCTGTACAAAATATACTAGTCTGTTAAACCATAAAGCACTAGTAAAACCATCATACATATACTGTAGAAATGAAGCGGTGTGCATACAAAATGCAATTATTTATATCATTATATTATTTATTTGTTTGTTGTTGATTTTTTTTCATTTTACTATGACAGCATTGATGTTAAAATATTTGTCAAATTAAATCTTGTCAATGAATATTTTTAACTCATACATGTCATAAGCTGCTGAATTTCTTAAATTGACCTGCTTTCTCTTTTGTAACTGTCAAATATCAGTTTTGGAGATTTCAAGATGAAAATTTAAAGTTAGCCAGCAGTATGGAGCTTTGGTAGACTGCTTTGATGTGCAGGCTGGCCTAGCTTTACACCTGTGGCAAAGATTCAAGCAAAAGAAGGGTTAACTAATATTCCTTGCACCTTCTAACCCAAACAATCTAGCCTGTTAAAATAGACAACAACAGACAGTAGAATGTTATTTTCTTTTGATAATGTTCTTATAATCTTATCATTGTCAACTACGTATTCATTTATCAATGTTTTACCCAAGGTTTTATCTGTACTGAACATAGAATAAATGCTTCATCATGGCTCTCAGGTAAATGCCAAAGTAAACTTCTTCTACCAAATACATCACGCCCAAACCACAGGGTTTTGGTGTCAGCCTGTTATATAAGCAAAATTAAAATATTTTTAAAAATCATATATGAATACTGTAACTTCAAACACAGGTTCAAACAATAAACAAGTGATAGCTAATATAATTATAATTATGACTTATTGAGAAAAAACAAAGGGCACTGCAGTACAGTGACCTACTTTAGGCTCTAAAAAGCAAACAGCTAAAATGACTTTTTGTGCATTATCAGGCAGTTTGGCCCCCATTTAGCATATAATACTTACATACAATTCTTTACACCCAGATGCCTTCAAACCAAAATTAACAAATCGAAAAATCAGTTTTCCATAGAAAACCTTATTAAAAAGGGTTAACTATTTCTTTGATTATGTCCAATATGAAAAATGTATCATGACACTCATGTGAACATGTTCCATAATTTTCTCTGCAATTTATTATCAATCATTATTTCTATAGCAAAAACATCAACTATAGACTACATGTATGATAAAAGCAGAACAAAAATTCAGGCATAACCTACTGAATTTATATAATAGATTTGCAGCATTTGTCCTACTTTGAATTCGGAATACTAGTAAACCAAACTTTTTAGGCTTTTATTTCGAATTAAAAAATATTGAGCTACCAACATTAAAAAGCCTGGTCAAAAGGCAGGCATGGATATGCAAGCTGGCCTGGCTGTAATATTCTGGTGGCAAAGGATGATCATTTTTGGTTCAACTGGGTTAAAGGTTAAATATTACCTGCCAATATATAAACGACCATGGGCCTTGAACTTGTGCGAACACTGCAGTGATCTGAGATTCTGATGAACACTGACCCAGCAGTTCTAACAACACTGTAGTATCACTCTTTGATTCTGGTACCTATATTAAATAAAACCAATCTGAATATAACACAAGAGTTAATTATACCGATTCCAATAAATTAATGTCACAAAAGATTATTTTCAAAATACATGTATTCTCAATGCTAACTTATGTATGATTAACTTAAATCACCATACTTTATTTACGTCTTAAAGTATTATACTAACATGATAAATCTTTTCTTCACTTAAATAAAGACCATTTGTTTAAATTTAGCACTGAAAATGCATGTAGTCCCAAGATATTTGCTATGCCTAGGTTTTGCCTCTCAATCAAGAGGTGCTGATGCTGACTAGTCCAACTAATGGTACTACACCTTGAGATATTGTGCTGTTTCACACATGGGCAATATCTCCCCTCTATGAGAAGCAAGATTCTGACCAAGAACAAAAATATCTCAAAATCTGCCTTTGGCATAAAAAATATTTTGACTAATACTGAGACCTCCCCTGATTACAATCATCTTTCTTTCTAATAAAATATGGTATAAGGAAGGAGCAGGAAGTAGACTTTGAAAGCATTTCACTAATAAGTTACATGCTTTCTTCACAAATAAGTTACAACATACAATGTTCCAGCAATATTCATGTTAAAACTTGGCCTTTTTAGAATTGCTTTGTACAAAATGGTAGTTTCAAAATTATATTTTTTTTAACCATGGTATATCATGGTCCTTAAAAAGACAGATCTTTCTGTTGTTTACTTGCTTGTTAATGTAATAAGCAAACCACTCAAGCTTATACCTATAATTTTGTACTCCAGAGTAACTCCCAAGCATAAAAAATGTATCCAATACCATTATGTTATTCAAATGTTCCTTAGAATAGATAAAAAATTACTATTTCATACATTTATTCCACCAAATATTTCTCCATTCCATAACAACAGGTTTCCCTGCGAGTCTTGGGCAGGCTGCACAGCCATTTCATCCCCTCTGAGATGAAGGACATGGCCAGTAAATACAGCTGATAAATGTTCTGCGATGTCAATCTTAACATCTTTGCTTTTATCTGGTCCTCGATTACAAAGGCGTGATTTCTTCAGTATGTCATCCTGAAAAGTAAAATATGTCATGTAAAATTCCTTGAATGTTTTTTTCATTGCCATAATAGTAAACACAAGCATGTTGTTTCATATAGAATTTTAGGTAAGCAGTGCTTTCAGGAGTATATACAGAGTATAAATAAGGTGAACTTCTGGTGAATGCCTGAAAACTTCTACCTACATGACTGTTATTGTATGCAGTTTTCCTTTCACTCATAGAGTTTCACTTTAAATAGGCTTTCGCATTATTTCAATATGCCAAAAGTCATTGCGAGTCCATACACTTTACCATATCTTATTGAGTTACCATATACATTTTAAGTGTGGTTGCTAGTCAAAGCCGCCACAAAATGGCCAAATTTGCCACTTGTAAATGAACTTAAAAATTTATTGCCAATTGTTACATCTCTTTAGAAATGAGCGCTTTCAATTTTAAATTTCAAGAATAAACCTTGATAATGAATTGCTAGAAGTGGACTTTTATCCTGAAAAATGCCAACGATGCCAAATAAAGAACACTGAAAACTCATGAACTGTCACATGATATGCAATTATCGAAAACAATGGAAAGCGGAGTTATGAATTCCACTTTGTTTGACAATAGTTGTTGTTGTTTTTTTGCTTCGGAAATAAACCCCAACTTTTATTTGCTGTGAAAATTGATATATTTACAGGCCTCGACATTAGCGGTGGTCCGTTGGTCCAAGACCACTTGATTTTGGCAAGAACCACCTAATTTTAAAACCCACTGGTCCGTCGGACCACTTGAATTTTCTGGTTGATGCAAGGCTCATTTGGAAGAATGGCGATTTGGTCAAAAACATGTAATATAATTTTGTTTAAAATCTATGTCCGATGTATATGGTTCATTAATCTCTGATTAGTTAAAGAAGTTCTTAAGTCATCAATAACTTTCATTTTAAGCCGCTAAAATTTTGTTTATGCAAGTTAAAAGAGTTAAGAGTTTATGATATAAATTTAGGTACAAAATTCTTTCAAATGGTGCTAGTAATTATGCATCGTCTGATAACCACGGCGGAACCATTAACATTTATGTTTATATGTTACATGTTAATCAACCGTGAGTATCCGATGATGGTAATTATATGATATCGGATAAACTTAAATTTCAGATACTTGAATAACGGCAGCAAACGAAAGGAACTGGAAAAAATACATCTAGTAATTCTATGCTATTTATCTATATTTTAACTGTTTAACGATAAGAGATCTGTTTCTTCTAGAGTTAAAATTATTTTAAAAGGTTAAAAATACCCAATGTCAAAAATGAATATCAACCAACAAGCAACAGGGAGGTAAAATTCTGTATTATAAATCTGTGAGAAAAATAAGATAAGTTATAGTAAATAATAACGTTGTCATTATTTAAATAATTTAGATATTTCCTTGTTTTCAAAGACAAAAATAAGATAATTTATTAGTTCCATTAAAAATGTTAATCTGTAAAAGATGCTATGTTATTATCATGATTATAAGACGTACCGCATATCAGCAATGAATATTTGAATAACAGTAAGAAAATAACAGACACAAATGGCTTCACTATTCCCTAACTTGAGTTGAGAGAGAAATCACTTATTTATAAAAGTTAACATAAATAAAAGCTCTGTTGTGTATTTTTGACTGAGATAAAAACAAATAAACAAATAACTCTACGATAAATACCTACTGACTTGCTCTCCCTTTTCTGATTAGATGACAAATATATATCTAAAAATATCTGTTTTCTTTAAAGATTAATAATACATCTTTGTCATAAAGTTTAAACATTTTTTTCTACATTTGCAGTAAAAAGATATAATAATGATAACTGACCACCTGACTTCTGGAAGGACCACCTAAATTTCAAATCTAGTGGTCCGGCGTACCACCTGCTAAAAAAGTTAGTGTCGAGGCCTGATTTACCATAACAACCACATATAAATAGAAAGAAAATTACCAAAAAAAAATATGAGAAAAAAATTTAAAAAAAAAACCTATTGGAAGTTCCAAGTATTAATGGTCAGAAAACTCACAATTCGTGGGTATTATGTAGACAGAGAATATACCAAAAATGCACCACATGCGTAAATTGTCTTCAAAATATATCTCAAATCAATTATAAATTAATCTAAACATACCAAATACCTTTTGTATCCGAACAACTTGTGTCCGAATTAGTATACACAAATGAACATGTTTAATTTACAACACTACTATTAAACTTACCAAATTGAATTTTTCAGAATTTTCTTTTTCAAATAGCAATAAACATATTCCACACATCTTTAAATTTATCTTTCTCTCATTAAACAGTTAAAATCTAGTTAATTAAAAGTGAGTGTTTAGAGTACTCAAGAGAGATTACTCTTACATTTATCGCACTTACAATGTACGTCGTCTGAAATGTAATATTCGCTTGGACCACATTAAGCTGCACATTATTTTGCACGTGAAGAAATAGAATTCAAGGCAGTCTTACAAAATAAAGTAAGAAAGTTTTCATTTATTTTTGAGATACACGTTATCCTTGGAATTGATAAGGGCTGTCAGCCTACCGATTGTGTGTAGTAGATTCTATGTTTTTTTATTTAGAAATGTTTCCGTTTAGAACTATGGAAATATCACGTGCAAATAGGTCTATTATCAAATTATGCATTGCTTTTACACGGATCTTAATTAATTAGAAATCTACTGTAACAACTAGATTTCATCTACGGTATTAGATCACAGGAACTTGAAATTCTATCACTATTAACGATAATATGCGAAATATACCCCCTATATACTATAAAAAAACAGTATATAGGGGGTATATTTGGAAATTATAATTAATATTGGTTATTTGATAGAATTTCAAGTTCCTGTGATTAGATCTACTCGAAATACCAACTCGTAAACTGACGTCAGCTGCACGTATTTTTTTATCAAGTTACGTCATTTAAGTTAACGCGTGCTTTCTCAATGGCGTCAACAAATCATTTCAGTTTGGTGTTATTTTTTACTTGTTTGTTAGATACCGGTTTCGTTGTAAGTAAAGGCAAAGACTATGATAAAGAAGTGCAAGCTTTACTTCCTGACTTTGAACGAATTGCCAAAAGTATTGACAAAAACGGGTTAAAAACGAACTTATGGACGGTTGGAACATACATCGCAGCCCACAAATATTTCGGAGTAGACTTCCGGTATTTAACCGGGAAGATTGAAGCAAGCGACCAAGTCTTCCACAAAAAATTTCCATCACCGATTCTGAGAGACCTTCATCCAACAGCATCCAAGGCTTGCGAATCTTCAGCTATGAAGTGTGTGACGGAGGTGGTTTACAAAGCTAGGCAGTCCGGCTCACTTCAACACTTAATGAAATCAAAAGAGAAACTTCAATCATTCGCACCATTCAAAAATAACTACGAGGAATTCAAATTTCGACAGACAGCCATGTATTATCTGTGTTGGCATACTCAGTTGGAGGACGAATTTCTCAAATTCAGCTCTGGTAGACAATCATGCCTATCTTATCTAAATGCCGTTGATGAAATACCGGCAAAGAAACGATTCAAGCTGGTTGGAGACGGCACTCCTGCTATAGAAGATATCCGAGACGAAGACTTCCGGGATGACCCTTTCACGTGTGCACGGCTTTGGTTCTGTCCAGACCCTTGCTATGGAAGAAAAGATAGAGGTCATTTTAAGAAAAGAAACTTTAAGGTGGAAGGTAATCCCTGTTTGGAACTGAAAAATAGTGAATGCAAATGGGAAAAAAATGGAAATATCAATTTCAAAGACCTAATACGGAACAGATTCAATATTACGTGTGATTGTTCGTCCGAACGGAAAGGTTTTAGTTGGAACAGTAGATTTGGAATGTGTGTCGACACAGATGAATGTTATGATAGGACGTCAAACTGCCCTGACAATAGACTGTGCAAAAACACTGTTGGGTCTTTCATGTGCACATGTGCCAAAGGTTATGCAGTCAATACTGAGACAGATGAATGTGAAAAAACGGAAATTCTACACGAGTCGGCATCGATGTTAAGTTATAAACATTTCCAAAGAGAGACAGACAAAGAAAAAGGAGAGCCAGACTTTGTATTAGAGATGATGGATTTCGTAGGTTTGTCAGTTGGTAACAGAATATTACAGAATAATCTGTCGTTCGTTCTAACAACTGTATCAATGGTTTTACTACATTTCTTAATATGAAATTCACGACTGATCTGAAGAATTACGTACACTTTCAAATTAAACGTACGATGTCAAATTGTAAATTGTCAAAATGTACGATGTGTATAGGAAAGTTTAAAAACATTACAATTTTCTAAAATGTCAAAGAATTTGCTTAAAAAGTTAAACATGTTCAAAGATTGAGAATTTGCTTTACATAGTTATACGAATGTTGTTGGTGAAGTGCGAGATAAATGATCATATATTACATATCTACATACAGCAGATAATAGCATGTTTCAGGAGCAGATGTTTTTATGCATCATATTTATAAATGTTCATACTAAATCATTTAGAACACTACTGTATCATATTTTTTTCAAGATTTTTTTTTCGAATATCCCTATGATACATTTAGAATTACTGTGTATATCATTATTTGAAGTAATTAATGGGCAAAGCTGCCCGCTCTGAACCAGTCCAATTTAACGGTAAAAAAGTATTTAATTAAAATGTTTTAATTACCAGCAAGCTTTACGATTGAAATACCTGCTATGTACAATTGATTTGTTATTTATCACTTTACACTGTTTTATTCTTAATTAATTGGGAAGAGGCCTAAGCCTCTTGATTTTGGGACAATTTATCGCTAAAATTGCTAATTTTGGAAGTACAATGTAAAAAAGCTGGTGTATGTTCAAAGTTTTGGGAAAGCTGCATGATTCTAAAGGAACTTCAGATTGGGAAGAGGCCTTTTGTAGGTCTCTGTTATATAAGGTGAAAGATCACTGATTTATCATAAGTATCGTTAACAAGAATAAGGCCAACATCTACATTATTAAGGAAAAAAGTATTTACCATATTACACATTCTAATTTTACTTTCTGATTTGAAATTCCATCACTGTAACACACAATAAAAGTTACATTTTACACTTTTGTGTGAACCAAAATGACTTGTTTCATTTTTCAAGCCTTAATGTTACCCTTATGAATGTGTTACCTTTAGAATCAACATATAAGGTAATGTTTGAGTGTTCTACTCAATACCCTGGCAGCAGACCATACGGAAAGTTTTCAATGTTCTGCTTAATTCTACGGAAATTTCAGTCCGTGCCAAATTCATACACTTGACTTTCTTAGTAATATGCAATACTTTTTGACCAATGGTTATCTATTAACAAAACTACAAAGGCCTCCATTTTTTGCAAGGTTGATAATACCCCCCCCCCCCCCCCCCCCCAATTCCATATTGCAGGCTATTAATACGTTTTACAGGGCGCAAAAATTATCAAAGTTATCGAAGAAAGGTCGAATAGAAGCGGACACAATTCTCATTTAAATATGTTAATGTATTTTAAAATTTTGAATTTTGATCTGTGAATGATTCTGAATGTTTAATAAATAGGCATTACTATGACTAATGTTTTATATGAACATGACTATAATAGGATGATTGGGCTATTTTTCCCTTTTGATTTATTTGCACCATTTTTAGGATATTTAATTAACGTATTGGTGTCTAATATGATAACAAGAAAACATAGACGTTTCCTAAGTAGTAGTCAAAACCACGTTAATTCCCTGGTTTATTTAATTTTATTTGGACTGACAGGACTGGGAGATTAATGTTCTAGATCTTTTTGCTGTAGGTTTGGATTAATAATTTCAGTGTAAAATTTTAGATACTTCGCTTGCTCCGTTTTCCAGAATGATTATTTTTATTGTGAAAAATTATTCAAACATGAAAAGCGTTTTTAAAGCGCTTTAAACTCAATTTGGGCTTATAAGATTCGCACAAAATTGTTTATCTATGTAGTATAAGTAACATGTATATGGACCACAATAAAGTTTCAAAAAGTATACAAAAAGTTCCTCATTGGCCAATTACCTTATAAACCATCTTGTTCATCTGTTGCATTTTGGCAATAAGTACAAATTATAGTGAATTAGTGTTTTGTATGGAAGACAAATTGTATGGAAGACAAAATACTACTTTGTTTACATTTCGCTACTTTTATGAACAGGTATTGCATCGTCCACGTCTATCGCTACTTTCAACAAGCATCTAACATTCTCTTAAACAATTATTTAAACATTGATGTTTGACCTTTCTTAAGAACATAAAGTTTTTACATGAGCGCCTTTTCAGTGGAAATGAAAGTTTGATTGCTTAATCATCAAATAAAAACACTGATATGTAATCGCTCATCAGATTATGCAAAAACGAAATGTGGAAATACATGTGATTAGAACAATTTCAATCATCTGCATTCAAAAATGAATTCGTGCTATTATTTTTGATAAGTATATTGTAAGCGTCGGGATTTTTTATGGTTCAGAATAGTGAATTAAGTTTGCACAGTTTGGTTAAGTTTTAAGCTTACTTTTTTATTTATTTCAGCCAATATTGAACATGGTTTTGTGCCTTTTATTTGAGCCACTATTGAGTACATGTACGTTGTATGGAACTTAAATGAGCCGCGTCACGACAAAACCAACATAATGGGTTTGCGACCAGCATGGATCCAGACCAGCCTGCGAATCCGCGTAGTCTGATCAGGATCCATGCTGTTCGCTTACCAACTATTACAAGTAGAGAAACTGATAGCGAACAGCGTGGATCCTGATCAGACTGCGCGGATGCGCAGGCTGGTCTGGATTCATGCTGGTCGCAAACTCACTATGTTGGTTTTGTCGTGACACGACTCAATTTTTGATAAAAAGGGGTAAGGATCATAATAATCTTGTAACGACAAACATATTATATAATATATTTATATTTTATAAACATATCAGAATAATTTATCATGAAATCTCTTTCTATGGAAAAATGGTATTTTTTAATTTTGATTATTGGTAATAAACAAAAGGACTTAATGGTTCACAAGTTAGTACAATAACAATGTGAAAGTCAATTCATTATAATACCATGTAGTTTTGGTGTTTTTTAATATGTTGCATAAAAGTTTTTTTTTTTTAAATATAACATGTACATGCTTGGTATATGCTTTAAACTTACTGAAGGTAATGAAAGAGCTAAAACAATTTTCTAAAACTAAAATATTCAGTGACATATATGTCGTCATTGTATACACGCTATTTTATAAAATATATATAACTATAACAAGAACTATTGAATATTCAATAAGGCAGTAAAAAGAAATAAAATAATTTCATTTTTAACCCGTGGCCTGCTGTTACCCATAGTCATTTAGTCTTTACCACCGGTATCACACCAGTGTGCAGTTTGAAAAGCCGCTATAGTGTTGGTGACCCTCTTTTTGTATTTTAATATTCAAAATCCCTTAAACTTTGAATAAAATGTTCCAAATTCAAAGCAGGGAAAATCTTCTGCACAAATTCAGTAGATTAATGGTTAAGATTACGTTAAACAGTCAGAGAGGCAGACGCCATGGATGTTCCTACATCTGCAGTAGCCATTACTGAACTGTACTTACCTCCAAGCAATAGGTGGATTCAACGTGCATCCTCCAGATGAAAACTCCGCCAGCTGAGGATGCATATGGATCATATGTCCAAACACCTTGTTTTCTTATAAGAGACAGCTCCTTTTCAGAGAGTTTCCTGAAATACTCGTGGCCCCTTGCCCGTTATTTCCACCAAAATCGACTGCCGCTCCGTTGTTGTAATTTACATCGTTAATAGGTGCACCTAGTCCAACATCTATTGCAGCGGCACCCGAAACAGGAGCTGACACACCTGAACTACTAGTAACGGTTTTCACATCGGTACCAAAAGATATAACTTTACGTGAAATTTGAGTTTTATCTTCTTCACTGTTTCTCCTGTAAACATATCTATCATAATTTACTTCATATTGCCCTCCGTTGCCATTATTATTGCCATTATTATTGTAACGCCCACTTCTTGCACTAACTGAACCACTATATTGACTACCGCTCCCTGCATCATTGTATAGGGAACCATCTCTTGGGCCACTGCTCTGGCTGCCACTTCCCGAACCACTTCGACGAGCACCATCTCTGTAGCCACTGCCGCGGCTGCCACTTCCCGAACCACTTCGACGAGCGCCACCTCGCACACGACTATCAAATCCACCATTAGCATAAAAATGGTCAAGAGAATTGTCCCAATTACCACCGTTGTTATTATTATAATTTCTACCATTGTTTCTATTGTCGTATCTGTTACCATTGTGATTGTTGTCTCGGTTGTTATTCAGATCGTTGTACCCGTTTCCCCCTAATGCTCGTGCGGAACCTCTACCTATTCTTGAATCGTAGCCATTACTGTTACCTCCTCTGGATCTGTACCGGCCTCCATTGTTTTCATCAAAACCCCTTTATTAGTGTAAAAAGATGAAATGCATATAAATATTTATAAAATAGAGATATTTGTTAAACGAAGTACTCCGTCTAAGATGGATTTAAAGTGATCGTATTGAATATAGACAAAAATTTGGACATGAATGAACACAATGCCAATATGACACACCGATGTTTATATGTCGCCGAGGCGCCAGACCTCCCTCTTTAGTCTAGGGCACTAGACCGTCTCAACGGTAGAATTTCGTAGATCTGGGGTCAGGGGATGACAGATCAAAACAAATTTCCGGCGTAGCAAAAATACCTTTTAGTAATTTTATAAGAAACGAATTTTTAAGTTTTTGAAATTTCCCTTTTAAGAAAATTTTAAATGAAAAATTAAGGTTTTAAAACCAACGACCAGTACCTTATTTTTTTCAAAAAATTTTTTTAATTGCCCCTATTGGTCACTATTCGTCTAGGTCTTTAAATAAAAAAGGTGAAAAAAGATGTGATTTAAACCCGTTGAGGGGGGTCGTTTTACAATTTTAGGGCATACTGCAAAATTAGAGTATTAGTATTTTGGGGAATTAGAAAATGATAAGGAAAATTTTTACACCTTGACATCACAAACTTTAAAAATGTCCACTCTATTTGGCGTGTGCTGCTAGAATTTTAACCGGCTCATTTTAAACTAATGTAATCGTTTTTTTCGATTACCGAAAAAAAAACTTTAAACGGAAAGGACAATATATAACTTTTTGATGAAATTTGATAAAAAGGAATTTTTTTCCTTTTAAAAGTTTCTGCCAATACCTTTGCAAATTTTCACGTAGCCATTGCAAAGTTTACGTTCCCTTTCCCAAAACTTTCCCCTACCCATTGAAAAGCCCCACCAAAACCAGTAAAATTTTTCTTATAGCCATTGTTGATTTCTACCTTTTCCCTTTTAAAAAGTTTCACCAAAATGTTACAATTTCCCCTCCATAGCATGTCAAAGTTCTATCAAACCCATTTTAAAGTTTCTACCAATAACCTTTGTCAAAACCCGGGCAAATAGTTTTGGGACCAAATTTCCCCGTACTTTGACGGGGAACTGACCACCCCCCCTGCCCCCCCCCATACCCCATTAAGGGTTTGGGAATATGGGAAATGCCGGATGGGGGCCCAAATCCCCCATCATCCCTCTTATCCATATCCTCTCCGCAAAACCCTTTGTTTTTGTTTTGAAATTTTTATAGTCCAAATCTTACTTTCGCCTATCTTCTATAGCCCCCCCCGAACCATACCAACAACCCCATTTTTTTTGCCAAAATTGTCTTATTATCTCTTCCCTCCAAAACCCTTTCTAAAACCCAAATCTTCCGTGCCCTGGAAAAACCCCCGTCGTATGGAAATGGTCCGTATGGCATAGACGCGCCCCACCCCCTAAAAACCCTTTTGGGCAAAACCCCCTGATCTTAATATGAGGCCCGGGTGGTGGCCCAGGGAGGTGTACCGAGATGTGGGGGGCCCCCTTGGTAAAATCGAAGGTGCGGAGGTTATGCTAATGAAGCAAATTAAGAACACATCCCCATCCCCTAAATGAAAATAACTAGATTAAAAAGTGTACATAGAAAAACTACAAAATAATAAAAATTGTTTTTTTTACCCTGCCAATTTTTTTTGTTTTGTGATAAGCCCTTTTCAACCCCTTTACAAAAAGCCCGCTCAAAAACAGACGTTTTCAATGAGACGAGTCTCGCGTTTTTTTATGCTGACAGAGCTAAGTCGACAGTTTTGTAGGGCATTGTTTACGTTGTACTTCCCACCATTTGCTTTTCCCCGCCAAAAGAAAAATGGAAAAGTATGTTGGGTTTAAAAGCAAAGGGCCAAAAATTGGGAAAAATGGTCTTTTTTTCGTTTTTTCAAACATGCGAACAAAAACATGCTTTTGAAAT